ACAGACAGACAGATAGATAGATAGATAGATAGATAGATAGATAGATAGATAGATAGATAGATAGATAGACAGGTAGGTAGGTATGTAGGAAGGTAGGTAGGTAAATAGGTAGGTAGATAGATAGATAGATAGATAGATAGATAGATAGATAGATAGCTAGATAGATATTTCACTACATGTCATTACAGTAGCAGGTTATGATATATTGCACAGTAAGTATTAACAGGAGAGGTGATAGTGATGAGGTTCAGCTCAGTTCAGACAGCAGGAGATCATTACCGTCTCTGCAGTAAGGAGACTCGTTGTAGAGCCGTATATCAGTGGGTAATAAAGATCTCACACGGCGCTCTTTAATGCAGCGCGGCTGTAACAGTCACTGAATGAGCTTCTCTGTTTATCCAGTGTAGCATGCAGGGGGTGTGAGGTGTTTTCCAAGATGGCTAAGCGTCCTCTGCTTGTTGAGCGTCCTCTGTTCTGAGCCAGCCTTCCTAATAAGTTTGTTTATTTTGTTCAGAGCACTTCTGTTAATGCTGCTGCCCCAGAACACAACAGCATAGAGTAAAGCACTCGCTACAGCAGACTGGTCCATAGGAGATTAGTGCATACACCAAAAGTATATAGTATTCGCGTATAAATATGCAACAATATAGAAACTATACATTACTATATAACAACATAGACAATATATGCCTATAGTTCACTTAATCTGTCTGAATTCAATGTGTTTGAGACTTATTATGCCTGCAGCACATGTCATGGCTTCAATTAATGACAGGCTATTTCACTTCTCAGACATTTAATACAGTCAGCAGCAAAATAACGAGATGACACAGTGAACAGGCAGATGTAAGGTTTGTCCATGATAAGCAATTTGAGATACTCTAAAAGATAATTCAAACATCATGAACAAAACATCAACAAAAAATCATTTATTTATTTAACTTAGCATGATATTTTCCCAACAAATGTCATGGATCAATATTTGGTGCGAGGGAATCAGAGCAGAATAATTTGGTCATTCGTTCTCGCTCTGTCCGAGGTTACTGAACCAGAATGTGTGATGTGTATGAAAAAAATGAAATGAGATTTGTAAAACAAGTGTGTTCATAATTTCACCATTTATGCATCACAGACAAGCAATTCAAAGCCTCAACAAAACATCTTATTTGATTGTTTACGAACTGTCCACCTCATAATCACTGGATAAACGTTCACTTTCATCTTATGAACAAACAAACCATTAAGCATATCAACCCCTGAAACATCTGAGTCATGACTCAGACAGTATAAAGCCCATGTGTCAAACACAAGGCCAGCGGGCCAGATCTGGCACAATCCTATCCGGCCCGCAGAAGTGTTTTAATTTTCTGTTAATGTTAGACTGTTCCACTATGCACTGCACTACAGTTCCCAGCATGCACTGCAACGTTATGTTCACTCCGACTCTCCTACTCCAACAGCAGTCTATGGGACAGTGGTTACAGCTCAGTTCTACACAGTTCTGCACAAATCCACACCAGTCATATCACAAAACACACTAACTGAATTTCAGCTGCAGTTTAACCAACATAAACACTTAATGTCAGCTCAGCAGCTCAGAAACTGAGCCCAACTTGCAGCAAAGAAAGGACGCCAGGTGTCTAGTTCAAGCAGATAGGTAGGTTTAGACCGAGCTCCTGGGGATATTTGATTTTTTAATATTTTAAGTATTCATGTAATATTTCAAGGTTTACTACAAGTGTCTATATTTTACTGTTGAAGGTTTTGGGCATGTTGAATAAACAGTGGCCAGTTCAGTCATAGCACAACATTAATTAAAAAATTAAATAAAAACTTTTTTTTCCTCTGGTCCTCTGATTTGTTGAGATTTTCGAATAAAGTTTTCTTTGACTCGTTGAGTTTGACACCCCCGGTATAAAGAGAATGGCATTAGTGTGTCTGAATAACAGCAATGGCATTTCTGTGTGAAGTCAGGAAGTTTCTTTGCCATTAATGGCAAATTCCATTAGCGGTTTGGCCAGTGTGGTGCTGGCGTTAAAACGTTAACAGCTTTTCAGCATTTTCCAACCGATTTAACAACATGGCCTGAGTGTGTGCTGGCCAACACTGCTGTACATTGCCAAGGTTTGAACCTGTGGAGACCTGCATTTTCTTACTGTAAAGCCTCAGTGCTACTGGTGCAATTTCTGCTTCACATTTTGGTGTTTAGAGTGGGGCAATGCAGGGGAAATAGTTGAAATGCTGGGCAATTCTTAATGCCCACTGAACCAAACATAAGAAACATAAGTCAACGGTACACCAATCAGGCATAACATTATGACCACCTCCTTGTTTCTACGCTCACTGTCCATTTTATCAGCTCCACTTACTATATAGGTGCACTTTGTAGTTCTACAGTTACAGACTGTAGTCCATCTGTTTCTCTGCATACATTGTTAGCCCCCTTTTACCCTGTTCTTCAGGGGTCAGGACCCCCATGGACCCTCACAGAGCAGGTACTATTTGGGTGGTGGATCATTCTCAGCACTGCAGTAACACTGACGTGGTGGTGGTGTGTTAGTGTGTGTTGTGCTGGTACGAGTGGATTAGACACATCAGTGCTGCTGGAGTGTTTAAACACTGTGTCCACTCACTGTCCACTCTATTAGACACTCCTACCTTGACAGTCCACCTTGTAGATGTAAAGTCAGAGGCGATAGCTCATCTGCTGCTGCACAGTTTGTGTTGGTCATCCTCTAGTCCGTCATCAGTGGTCACAGGACGCTGCCCACAGGACACTGTTGGCTGGATATTTTTGGTTGGTGGACTATTCTCAGTCCAGCAGTGACACTGAGGTGTTTAAAAACTCCAGCAGCACTGCTGTGTCTGATCCACTCAGACCAGCACAACACACACTAACAGACCACCACCACGTCAGTGTCACTGCAGTGCTGAGAATGATCCACCACCCAAATAGTACCTGCTCTGTGAGGGTCCATGGGGGTCCTGACCCCTGAAGAACAGGGTAAAAGGGGGCTAACAATGTATGCAGAGAAACAGATGGACTACAGTCTGTAACTGTAGAACTACAAAGTGCACTTGTATAGTTAGTGGAGCTGATAAAATGGACAATGAGCGTAGAAACAAGGAGGTGGTCATAATGTTATGCCTAATCTGTGTATTTGTATGCCTTCTTGAAAAACCTAGTTTTTGACCCAAAGTACTTCAGGAAAAGTTTAAAAATGTTAGCCTCATGCAAAACCCACTATAACATAAAAAAATAATAATAACAAAACAATGCAAAGGAACTACACACTTCTGTGGTCCTTCAAAGGGTTTTTTAATAATGACAAAGGTTCTATTTAGAACCATGAGTCCTGTTTAGAACCAATTCATGCTTAAACAGTTCTCTGCATGGAGAAATTATTCTTCAGACAGATGGAGAGTATCGCTATCGTCAGAAGAAAACCTCGCATCTCCAAAATGCTAACTTTATGGCAGAAGGAAAAAACCTACTTCACTTTTAATGTAAGTCAATGGAACCAGACGTTTTTCCAAGTCATTTTGGGTCATTTCTTTTAGTCCATTCATCATGAAATTTACATGCAATGTAAAGGGTAACAGGTATTTTCAAATTATGTCAAAAACTGGAAAATGTCAAAAATGAAGATACAAGGTTTTTTTCGACAACAGGTTCTATATTCTACATATTTTTGGAAATGGTTCTAAATTACTCCAAATATTTCTTCTATTGATACAAGCTTGACAACGTAACGGTAGCAGAACCCTTTTTGGGTGCTATACAGAACCATTTTCAAAAAGGTTCAGTATGGAACATGTGCAGTTTGAATCTATCAGTCTGAAGAACCATTTCACCATGCAAAGAACCATTTAAGCATGACATGGTTCTGTACAGAACTCATGGTTCTAACAGAACCATTGTCTTTATTAAAGAACCCCCTAAAACAACCATCTTTTTTAAGTGTGTAGCTTTAATGTAATGAAGTATTTCAGTCCATAAGATCATTCAAAGCCGTTTCATCACAAGTAGCCCATATACTTTTAGCTCCACAGTCAGGAACGGCTGGTTTAAGGAAGAGCACCAGCCTGGCAACCAATTTTGATTGGAGCAATTTCAGAATACTGTCAACAGTTTGAAACACAAATTTCATGCAAATCAGTTTGGCCGCATGGATGGCAGACCTTTAAACCCTCCGTGCAACAATAACCCCATTAGAAGCGAGGTGGATGTTTTAAAGGCTGGTTAGGCTTCTGCACTTTCCACAGGGGCTCTGAGCACACAGACCACGACACATCTGACCGCCAGGTGAGCCAAACATCTCAGCACCGACTACAGAAAACAGATAATATAGTGTTACTTTATTTATTTACTATTTTTACTGTCAGTAAAATGTCTTATTACATCGACTAAATGCAGGTTCTGTCCATTTGTCAAGGCGTCATTCTGTTGTTATTGTATTTTTGTAGACGCTAACACTCCATGTCTGTCTCCTGAACGAATCGTTCTTTTGAACCGACTCTTTTCCAGAAATCGGTCGAATCGATTCACAAGTCCAACAGACTACGCTGCCTATTTGTAGCATATAACCTACATAAGCTATAGCTTGAATGGCTCTTGGAAATGTTAAATCAAATATAACAATCTTACACTGTATATTTTTTGTAAATAAATTAAAAGAAAACGACACACATGAACTGTTTGTATTCACTCACACTTTCTTTCAGGCTACCTCCTTCTGTTACGTGTTCGTACTGTGTGAATCCCTTTTCTACGTTCAAAGAAACGTATCTGACATCATTGGTGATCATTAGACCATCGGACTTCCTCGCTGAACCTCACTGTAGGTGATAAACTCGTCGGTTAATCTTTCGATCGGACGTTCGAGTCATTAAAACGCGGTGTTCGAAAGAATCGATTCGGCAAGACCGATTCGGAATTCCCGTCGCCAATTCCAAGGTGGATCGCTAAGTCTCGCGCGATTCCCGCGTCGAAATCTCGCGGAGTTTTCTTGCCGTTTGTGTAGATGTGTGGCACTAGTTTAGTTTCAGGAAAATCCAAGAAAGGTGGGGACTTGTGGACAACTTCCTGCGCGGTCCGCGTACGAGCAACGGTGATAAGTCGCACGCCTCCGAAACAGTCGACGGGCCGTTGTCGAGACGAAGACGGATGGATTTATTTCGCGAATAAACTTGGGTTTTCGCGAGAAACTCCTCGGCATAGTTGCGCGCGAGCGGGATAAACATATACATCGCTAGCATCCAGGTGGCTAGCTAACGTCAGCTACAGGACGGGAGACGGTCCCGCATCGAAGGACAGTATGGGTGAGTTTCCTCGCTGTTTAAGTGACCCTACCGGCTCTCGCTGCCTTTCACGACCGAGTCGTGTCACTTTAGAAGTCCGTCCTGGTGAAAACGACGTGTAGGGCAGAGAGAAATCACCGGGCTGTGACTGACGAACCTCACCGCTGAACGTCACCATAGCAAACAGGCTAGGCTCGTCCAGGCGAGAACATTCCTGCCGTTTTATCTGAGTTACTTCCATACTGGCCTCCTCGACGGCTGAAAGGTCTGTTGAGAAAAGTTGACAAAAATTCTCTTGTTTACAGTCATGGCTCACACAGGCCGTGTCTGCAGAGGCGAGGAGTTCAATTTAACGTCGGCTGCCGCGCCGAGAGAGACGTCTCCTATTTACTGAAGTTAACTGAGAAGAATTAAGTCAACAAATATAGCAGCTAGCCAGCCTGGCACCGGGCAGCACCGCCGAAATGCTCGTAGGTGGTGGTACCACTTCTCATATTGCTCTGAAATGCAGCAAGCTGACACATTTAGTGCTCACGTTTTAGGTTCTGAACTTTCTTGACTTCTGTTTGGCCAAGAAATGGTGCATCAGTTCTAAGGTGTGTGTTTGTAATGAGGCTGGTGGTGACCAACCTGTCAGTCTACTTTCTGCAGGCCCAAATACAGGGTACTGACATCATTTCGTGGTCTAATGACACAGCCAGCTCTCCCTCAGATGATCTCAGATTTTAACAAAATGTGTAAAAACTAACCAAGTTTAATTTTCAGGTTGAGGAACGGCGATCGCTAGAAATGAAAAGGCATTTTGTGTGTTAGAATATGCTCGAACGCAGTCAAACAAGAGTGGGCAGTGTGCATTTTCGAGAAAAGTTCAATAAAAAATGCACCAACTGGAAAGCAGATTTGGACCCGGCACAAAAAATTTGAAGAGGAAGGCTGTCTGTGCAGGGCGAAGGGATCTGGACGACCACCAGTGACAGAAGATGTTACATTTGCGAAGCTTTGTGAAATCGGTTATGAAATCTACATCCCATCTGAATTTTGATGAATAAATCTGGTGTTGTTCAACATGAAGCCTATTTAATTGCATTCGTCTACGACATGTAGCTACTCAGATATTCACATCTCAAATGATCTCAGTTTTTTTGGGACACCCTGTATGTTGGCAGACTAACGTCAGCCCTTGGTCTCAGATATAGCCGCGCTGCCGAAATTCTCCTATGAGCCCATAGGAACTGTCTACCATGTGGTTAGTCACATGTGAATCCAGTACATATGGATAACTTCTGGAGGGCAGGGTTTTTCGTCTCGGCTTATAGGCTGATGTGTCTGAACATGTCAGTGTTTTGACACACTACTCACTTGCTGGAGTCTCTACATGTGTGCAGTTTGCCTCCAAAGCTGTTCTTAAATGCTCAGGCGAAGAGGGTCTACCTAAACCTAACTGCATTTAGAAGAGCCAGATAATAGGTTCTCAGAGCTGAAAGCCTGGCCCTGGGCAGCCCTGTGGAGAAGAAAGCTGGCCCGAGCTGCTCTACTGGAAGAGGCGGCTGGCAGGCAGGTCGCCTGCGTGGCCTTGAGTGCTTCCCCCTCACCAGTAATACATCAAGGTGTCACTGAAGTTATGTAAGCATTCCACTGAAAAGGATCCTGTTCGGAAGTATGGAAGTGAGCAAGGCAGTAATATTTCCTTAAACGCATTGAGCTGTGCTTCAACAAAGAATGCTGTACCCGGGTGAAGAAACCTGTTGCGTGATTATGTGGGCATTAGGAACGTCAGTGAGCGATACTATTCAGACATGTAGCATAAAAGTCAGGACTAAGTAATGTAAACCCTTCTGCTGGTGGTCCAACTTGTAGAAACAAAGACTTGACGCATTTGGTGTTGGGTTATGGGAGCGGTGGGCTTGGTGCACACCCCTCTCTCAGAGCCAAACACAGAAGGTTTTTTTTTCTTTATGCGCTTCTCTCACTGTGTGTTTGGATTGGACAGATGTTTGTGGTCACGTCAGGTCTCAACTTAAGGCTGAGTCGCTGCAGGCAATGTTAAAAGAAGTGAAAATGTCTCTTCGCTCTCAGGCTCCAGGACATTTAGCCACACCTTCTGTAAAGCCTTTTTGTCATTTAGAGAATCTTGGTTCGCATTTTTAGGAGTTTTGGTTATTGGTAAGTTTGCTGAAACACCAGCTGAACTGCGCCTTGTTGTGTAATCATAATAATACCTTTGTGTTTGTGCTGACCTTTGTACTGTACTGGACTGATATGAACAAGACTAAAATCTGTAGTGCAGCCTCACACTACCATAATACACCAATCAGGCATAACATTATGACCACCTCCTTGTTTCTACACTCATTGTCCATTTTATCAGCTCCACTTACTATATAGGTGCACTTTGTAGTTCTGCAGTTACAGACTGTAGTCCATCTGTTTCTCTGCGTGCTTTGTTAGCCCCCTTTTACCCTGTTCTTCAGTGGACAGGACCCCCATGGACCTTCACAGGTACTATCTGGGTGGTGGATCATTCTCAGCAGTGCTGCTGGAGCTTGTAAACACTGTGTCCACTCACTGTCCACTCTATTAGACACTCCTACCTTGTCAGTCCACCTTGTAGATGTAAAGTCAGAGACGATAGCTCATCTGCTGCTGCACCGTTTGTGTTGGTCATCCTCTAGTCCTTCATCAGTGGTCACAGGACGCTGCCCACAGGACGCTGTTGGCTGGATATTTTTGGTTGGTGGACTATTCTCAGTCCAGCAGTGACACTGAGGTGTTTAAACACTCCAGCAGCACTGCTGTGTCTGATCCACTCGTACCAGCACAGCACACACTAACACACCACCACCACGTCAGTGTTACTGCAGCGCTGAGAATGATCCACCACCCAAATAGTACCTGCTCTGTGAGGGTCCATGGGGGTCCTGACCACTGAAGAACAGGGTAAAAGGGGGCTAAAAAGTACGCAGAGAAACAGATGGACTACAGTCTGTAACTGTAGAACTACAAAGTGCACCTATATAGTAAGTGGAGCTGATAACATGGACAATGAGCGTATAATGTTATGCCTGATCGGTGTATATATTTTGAGTCCTCACCCTACATTTCATTACCATTGGATTACAGGTTTGCATGTATTGCATGAAAACTACTCATGCCGTGGAGAGCAGGGGTGTCAGACTCAACCACTTAAGTGGCCATATTAAAAAGTCTCAACAAATCTGTGGGCCAGAGGAAAAAAAAAGGTTTTATTTCATTTTAAGGTTGTGCTAACTGGTCATTGTTTATTCAAAATACGCAAAAACCTAAGCAGTAAAATATAGGCACTTATAATAGACTTTGAAATAGTACATAAATTCTTGAAATTGTCAAAATGTATACGTCTCCCAGGAGCTCGTTCATTATACTTCATTAATACTTATACATCAGTTTCTGAGCAGCTGAGCTGACGTTGGGTGTTTATATTGGCTGAACTGCAGCTGAAATGCAGCTGGTGTGTTTGGTGACATGACTGGTGTGGAACTGTGTAGAACTGAGGTGAAACCGCTGTCCCGTAGACTGTTGATGGGGTAGGAGAGTCAGAGCACACATTGCAGTGTATTTTGGGAACTGTAGTGCAGCGCATTGTGAAACAGGCTAATATTAACAGAAGATTAAAATACTTGGGCCTGATAGGATTGTGTGTCGGCCTGATCTGGCCTGCGGGCCTTGCGTTTGACACATGGGCCATAGAATATAGTCAGTTCACTTTGTTTACTCCCAGTTTAGACTGGTCTGGATGTTTGTCTTAAGTCAGGCTTGTAAATATATATACACACCATATTCTTCAACAGCAGAGGAGCGCTGTAAAGTAGCTCATGCTTTAGGCCAAGGGTTCTTCAGTTCTGGTCTTGGAGAGCTGATGTCCACCACAGTTTGGTGATTTCCTTGGTCAGACACATCATCAACTCTTATGTTAATTGCCAGGTTTAGCAGGTGTGTTTGAGCAAGGAAAGTGCTGGACACCGGCCCCCCAGGACCAGAGTTAAAGAATCCTGCTTTAGGCTGTTTATGAAGACATCGGTTGGCTATACAAACTTGGTTTCGTCTGTTTCGGGAAATAATGTTGTTGAAAAGATGGAAAGTAGGGATGCTTTGTGATATTCAAACGAAAATGATTACTTTTATTTTTGGATGTAAGGTTTAATAGACTTTGAAATAGTACAGAAATACTTGAAATAGTCAAAATTGATATGTCCCCCAGGTGCTCGGTCTTTTAAACCTACCTATTTGCTTGAACTAGACACCTGGCATCCTTTGTTTGCTGCAAGTTTGTTAATACTTGGGCTAAATTTCTGAGCAGCTGAGTTAACGTTGGGTGTTTATATTGGCTGAACTGCAGCTGGTGTGTTTGGTGACATGACTGGTGTAGAATTGAGGTGAAACCGCTTTCATAAGGTTTAATTGACTAATTCACAATCTACATCAAATTTAAACTGGTTTTCAGGTTTCTGTATACTGTAGTGATTAGTTTGACTCCCAGTGTTGGACACTAATATGCAAAAATATATGTAATAAATGAACCAAAGTCTAGATATTTCACTTCAAAATAAAATTCATAGTAGGTGCTTCAAGAATTAAAATCAAAGGAGGCATATTTTACTCTTTTTGCCATTTAACTTAGTTCCCTGTACAAAAAACACACCTTAATTCAGGTTTTGTACTCTGTGTTTTGCTTTTTTTAAAAAGGAAAGTTCTTTTTCTGAGTGTTGGCTTTGAATGCTAATGCACTCTGCTCTGATTGACCATCTGTGTGGTGGGGATAGAGTACAGGATGTGGTCATTTTGTGTAATGTAGTGCTCAACTGTGGCTTCAGCAGAGCACAGAATACAGACCAGACATGTTCCACGTTAAGATTGCTTGTGCTGAGATACTGATGCAGTCACAAAATCATGAGCATGTTTCGAACAGAGCAGCATGGTTTATTGAGGAGACCTTCACTTTGTAGGTAGCTTTTGTTTACCCAGTTATTGTAACTAACATAATG